ACATGTGCATGTAATTGTAAATAATATTTATATATATATATATCAGAACAAACTTCATTGCGTCACTTTTATTTATGCATCCTTTGGCACAATACAAGTTCTAAAATTACACAACATAAAACAACTAAATGTTATTTCAGATGAAAGTTTTGTTTCAGTTCCATTCATAGGATTTATTAGAATTTTGTATGTTTTGCCAAGTCCAATAATTAGCTCTATGTGCACGTGTTAATTGGAGACTTTTCTATCCCGTATAAGAGTTTTGGAACTAATTCTGTTTCTTTTTTTGAAAAAAGTGAGCAAACAAATCATGCACATTTAAACCTTTGTCTGCCATCACACTGTCACCTGGATCACATAATTGAACTATTCTACATCTTTCAACTATTTCACAGTCACTGGTACAACCAACATATGCATTAGAGACATAGTTGACTAAACCACCAGGAGTCGAACATACAAGTATTTTCAGTGTTTCTGTTTTTAAATGATGAAAAGGTTGCCTGAGCTCTAGGAGCTTTAGGTTTTATCACGGGATATTCTGTGCTGTCAATAATAATCCAAGTTGTAGGAAACTTTAATTTGAAGTTGGATGGCGAAAAATACCTGACTAAACCACTAAATGGCCAAGTGTTAGCCTCACGCCACTGTTTAGACATAAAAACAATCCATGTTTACACAATATTCTTAACACTAGTTTCAATCTAGAATCTAGACAGTTCAAAGTTGGTTGTATAATGCCTCAATTTCATCAAAGTCATAAAAAAACTGATTTTCAAATGACACCTTATCAATTTGAAAATATATGTATCTCAAACAATGTGCTGCTGGACCAAGTGTGGTCAAAACAAATAAAAATTTAGTATACAAGTTACAACTCTAAACCGGTATATAAATGCATGGCTGTGTCACGTGTCTTCATTTCAAAATTCTCTGCTGAAAATATAGGCATTGATGGTGTTTGCGTAATTCCATCTGTGAAGCTCAACATTAGCTCGGCAGTTGGTGGTGGACAGTCATAAATCATGTCTGCAGTATGAATGACTTCTTCAGGAAAACCAACTTTACAATCAAAACTTTCCTCTATATTTCTACTACAATATTCATCAAGTTTAGTTCTTTTGTTTTCACAGGAAACTGCCCTGATTTATCTTTTTGCGGACGATTCAGTCTCTTGCTTGGTCTAGGAAAATAGGCTGGGAATGGCAGTAGACTTAAGTCTCTGTATGGTGGGTTTGCACCCTGAAAAAGGTTATAAAACATTAGGTTTTTGATAATTAAATGAACTTTCATTAGCAATGCATACTTTATACTACCTGGCAAAATATTAACTAGATTTATTCATTACAATCTGGATAAAAGTATGTTAGCCTGATTCAATGTACATCAAAATGTATGTTATGTAAATCCAAAGGACAAACAATGAGAGACGTATGCAACAAACATACATTGTTTGTACCTAAATAACTATAATATAGATGAGAGCATGTCATTGTTTTGTTCCTGTTAACATTGTCATTGACATTTTTCAAGAAAGTCTATGAGGCATAGCTTATGCATTCCTGTCATTACTACATTAGCATTATTACTGCTAAAATAATTCTCAGTATGATATACCTCTTGTAAGAAATCATTATAATTGTAGCAAGCACCAAAAAATCTCAAACATATCACGTTGAATCGTAATCCAAAAAATTATGACGTCTTGAATTAACCACCCCCTTTTATTCTAAAACGATAATTGCGGTTGTAAACAGACTTTGGTTATTTCGCATGGCGATTACATATATAACTATATATTTTAAAAAGAAAATAGAGTTTTACCATGAATAGTTTCCTGCACGTAGTCTTTTTCAGTAAAATGTGCCTTGCAAACAACAGCTGATTGAGATGGACTCCACGATTTCATCGTGTTCTCGTCCAATCTGCGTATGGGCCATGGCGTTGATCCAACTTTTCCTTCTTTTTAAGTCATTTGGAAATGCATGTCCTCCTCTTAAATGACATCCAGGTACACAACAACAAGTACTTGGCATCGTTAATTAAAAATGCAACTGTAATAGTTGCACAGTGCAGAAACCGGAAGTTGAAGAACAGGATCGGCTACCACGGCGCCACCTATTCAGGAACGATAATTTGCTACTTTATATAACTGCGAAATAACAATAACGTTAGACGGGTTTGCGTGCATAAACAGAAATGCGCTTTAAATTGTATAATATAATTCATGTTCAGTCGACCTTTAATTATTATATCAACGACTGAAATGATTTATAAACATCTAGATTGCAGATAACACTCGAAATTAACCCGACCTCTTTCCACACGGAATTCAAATAATTCTAGTTTGTCAATCGGTTGACTGCTTATAATGTAAAATACAAATATATCAAAAGTTTTTAAAACTAACAAAACACAATGATCGTTTCTCTATTTCCCAATGTAAATGAAATGAAACAAAAAACATTTTATATCACAATAAGAAGAGGAGAGAATCAACATTTTCCGGATCTACTTGGAGCCTAATGACCCCCCACGTAGATAAGTTGGATATCGCGGAAAGAAAGATTAACACGGCAACTAGAAAGGCATTAAAGCACTGCCTTTAAAAATTGAATCATAATTTCCTGTCGATATGCACATCTACATAGTATGTCCTTATTATCTGAAAGGTTTCATGAAATTCTGTTGTGTGGTTTGAGAGAAGTTGCGATGACAAACTGTTGCAGTAGTACATTAAAGTAAATAAGTTCAAAGGGGCGTAACTCCTAGAAAAAGAATTGAATCGTAATTTCCTGTCGATATGCACAACTACATAGTATGTCCTTATTATCTAAAAAGGTTTCATGAAATTCTGTTGTGTGGTTTGAGAGGAGTTGAGAGAAGAAACAGTACGGAGGGACGGACGGACGGACGGACGGGTCAAAAACATTATACCCTCCGCAACTCTTTGCGTGGGGTATAATTAAATTGAGAATGGAAATGGGAAATATGTCAAAGAGACAACAACCAAACAAAAGAGCAGACAACAGCCAAAAGGCCACCAATGGGTCCTCAACGCAGCGAGAAAATCCTGCACCCGGAGGTGGTCCTCAGCTGGCCCCTAAATAAGATTGTGTACTAGTTCAGTGAAAATGGACGTCACACTAAACTCCAAAACATATAAATGAACTAAATTTAAAAAACATACAAGACTCACAAAGGCCGGAGGCTCCTGACTTGGGACAGGCGCAAAATTGCGGGGGGGGTTAAACATGTTTGTTTGATCTCAACCCTCCCCTATTCCTCTAGCCAATGTAGAATAAACAAACACATAGCAATACCCACAGTAAAACTCAGTTTAAAAGAAGTCAGAGTCCGATGTCAGAATAGGTAACAAAAGAAACTAAGCAAAATGACACAATGATACATAAATTAACAAAGGACTACTAGCAGTTACTGACATGCCAGCTCCAGACCTCAATTAAACTGATTGAAAGATTATGTCTTCATCATATGCAAATCAAGTACAATCCCTCCCATTAGGGGTTTAGTATCATACCATCATAAAATATATGAGAAGAACATAACCCGTATCATGCCAACAACTGGTTTTAGAATAAATGTGAAAACCATTTTACAGACAAGACACAAATTGTTAAATAAACTTTGAAAAATTGCAAATTTAATCCATCTAAATATTAATCTCCAACTATTTCCAAATCTTTTTGCAGCGTTTTCTTATAATTAAAGAAATAAGAATTATATGAAATGCAAATTATGAACAGCGTGTAAAGTCAAGATAATTCTACACATTATGTGATTTCAATGAATAGATGAAATACCGATAACATTCGCATTAAACTGTTCAATATATTAAATATATAGTTACTAGGAAGCTGTACAACCTGCAATTTTATTTTGAAAACTTTTCAATAAGTTGAAAAATATCAAGAACATACGCATATAACATATCTCAAATCTCCTTGCCAAGCTTTTTACCTGATTGTGGCAATGTTTACATCGCCACAACCTTTCATTTTCCCAAAAAGGGAATCTTCTCTAAGATTTGCTTGCTCAATTAGGGCAAGCTCCTCATCGGTTGTCTAATTTGCCCCTCTTTAATTTTTTTTCAGCCATACTGACAGCAAAAATTACCTTAAGGGCATACGATACAGTTACAGGGGAAGTAATGACGTTGATAACGTAAATTGTTATTTTCGCGACGTCAAACTGTGACTTATCGGGGAAAAGATGCAGTTTTCGACTGATTTTTATCATTCAAACTGATTTAACTTGAAAACGAGTTCATGGACCCTTCTTTTTTAAAATGACATTTGGTTTGATTACGTATGAAGATTATGTGTACCAATTTTCATGAAAAAGTCAATAGTTCAATTATTTAAAAAAAAAAAATTTTTTCTACATTCATGAACATTTGATAAATATGAGTTATTTGTAAAAATAAAATGTACAAATTTATAGAACATTTATATAAAACAGAAATTACAAATAATTTAACAAAAAACAGCTTGTGTTTATCTTTTAAAACAAAAAAGTTATGTAGATCTGTCGAAAGGAAAAATACTTCCACAAATCCGAATTTTGAGGAAATATCTGAAATTTCAACCTCAATTTACTCAAAAAGTAGCACATGATGGTATATTTTTTATTGCATATTTGGTTTAATCAGGTAAAAAATAGCCTAGGTGCAAATTTTCATCAAAATTTCATTACGGGATGAAAACTGTATCGTATGCCCTTAACAGACTTTTGACAACAATCATCAAATCTCACCTGCATTTTCGCGAAGTTTGGTACACTTTTCTAGTTTTCAAACACCCGTATATCGCTTACATCGCTGAGAAAAAAATTCTCAGCTTAAATATTTCCAATGTTGAGAATATTTTTTTATGGCAGAGAAAAAAGTTCTCATTCTAAACTGAGTAATATAATTCATTCTGAGAATAATTTTTTTCTGAGAAAATAAAAGTTTTATGGTGTTGGGGCCTGAAAATTACCTGTGTTAATCTTTCCTTCACATGACAATCTGTTTTTGCCATTCTTCGCATTACCTATCAATAAAAACATAAAATATTAAATCATTTAAAGAAAATGTGACATATAAAAATGCCAGCTATCACTCGAGTTAAAATATTTAGCATAAAGGGCCAACCAGTGGTCAAATCAAGATAATTTCAAGCCCCCATGAATTATTTCTAAAACAAATTGACGCTAACAATGGTCAACCCTTTTTCTATTGACTGTTGGTGTTCAATGGCACTTTCAGTACACAATGCTATATCATGGTGGCAGAGTTTTATTGGTGGAGGAAGCTTTCGCTTTAATCCATGATGGTTTGTAGAACGTCATCCAATCGTCAATCACCATCAAAATTTTTGCTGTAAGTTTCAAAGAAGATCTCTGAAAATTAAAGTCAGAATCAATGATTGCCTATGGTAGCCATGCTTTTCTTCCAACCAGAACCAAATGAGGATTATTTGTAGAGATCATCCATCCCTGCCAAGTATTTCACATTAGCCTACTGGTTTCAGAGAAAACGATGTTTTCATAGAGTTCAATGGGAACTATGTGGCATATCTCCTCAAATAAGGATAGCTTGTACAGGGTTTCTTAGTCACCAATCCTATACCATTTCAAAACATTTTGTTTCATACTTTCAGAGAAGAATTTTGAACATTTGCTAATCAAAATAAAAAATTGATTCCATTTTGAGGAACCAAATGAGGGACAATGGTATACTAAATATATTATACTATACTAGCAGAGACATAATTGTATTATATATCTCTGATATACTAGTAGTACGTCAATGTTTTAACACACCCAAATTATTTCTTAAATTGAACATAGAATTAATACCACGTAGAGATATGAATAGCTTGCCGTTTTGGGTTATTATTAACAGATATTTATATATTTTGACGCATCACATAATACATTTGAGGTCAAGTTGTCAAAAGTGCCTGTCAATATTATTGGTCAATTTCATAGCGAATCGTTGGATTTGTTAAAATTGTCCAATTAATGCCAAGGTGACAATGGCTCCAACCCTTTCCTTCGAAGCAGAGATTTAGATGGAGTGGCAAGCCAGTTAACATCCAAAAAAGCATAAAATTTATCTCCCTTACTCAAAGTGACATCCACACAAGCATAAGATTTATTTCCCTTACTCCAGAAAGTGACACCCAATCAAGCAAAAGAGTTAACTCCCTTACTCCAGAAAGTGACACCAAACAAGCATAAGAGTTATCTCCCTTACTCCAGTCTGTGACATCCAAACAAGCATAAGAGTTATCTCCCTTACTCCAGAAAGTGACATCTAAACAAGCATAAGAGTTATCTCCCTTACTCCAGAAAGTGACATCCAAACAAGCATAAGAGTTATCTCCCTTACTCTAGAAAGTGACATCCTAACAAGCTTAAGAGTTATATCCCTTATCCATATCTATGCCTAAAATTTACTTTTTATAGATTTTAAATGAAACTTTACAACAAGAAGGGAAAATTGCAAACTGATTGTTGCAAAAACTAGAGGAATAGAATGCAATTTCTTGTTGATTGATAATCATTCCTTGAACAAAAATTTTTGCTTACCTGGCTTTCTGCTGCAGAAAATCCAATGAGTTCTGTTAAAACCTGTAAGAACAAATACAATATATACCTTCTGATTAATAGCAACACAAAGTTCTGATTAAATTCTTTTTTTTTTATAACTCCTCTTGCATTCTTTATGTACTAAAATAAAATATAAAGGCAAATTTTACTATGTATGGTTAAGTATTTCTTTAGCATTTTCCAAGTAATTAGTTCTTTTAAAAAAGCTAGAAAAGTTATCATCAAATAACAGCGTTTTTTACCTGCTGTTTCCCACCTTGCAGTTGCTTGTATGTCTAAAGAATTAGCAGTTGACTTCACATTTAAACTTGCCTTTTGCAATGCAATTGTTTGCCAATATGCCGTTCTCTTTTTTTATTGTGAATAAGAGGTGATGTGTGGGGTCAATGAGAAAGCAACCAACGACAGAAATAACCAATAGGCATCTAGGGGCAAAAGACAGGTGTCAAGCTCTAAATCACCCAAGTCTATAAAAGTGGTGAACAAATTTAACAAAAACATCTACCATTTACATGATCTACACCCAATTTTCCAAATAACAACAATGAAGATATGACATACAATAATGTTTGGTGAATTATGATCTTTTGTTTTCAAAGATTCATATATATGGACATAGTAATTTGCCAACTCATTGGCTATGCCTGTGTCTGTAGTGACATTTTAGATTTCACTGAACCTAATTTATTTATAACTGGTTAATTATTGAGTCATATTTGTAACCACATATTAATTAAAACCTTTAGTAATTTTCTTTGTAGATGCAAAGATTTGGTTTGTCAGTTTGGCTTTACCTATATCAACCTTATTACAAATAAGATATCACATCCTAATTTTTACAGTGATATTGTTCAGAATCATACTAAATTTGGTAATGATGTGATGCATGGTTATAACCACATCATCCAATCTGGGGCATTACATATGCATTAATTTGTCCTACATTAATACAGTGTATAAAGTAGGGACTATATTTGAAGACAACCAAAATCGAAGGCAATTGTGTTATTGGGACATTTGGAGAAAATAAAAGAAGAATGTGTCTGAGGACACGAATGCCCCCACTCAAACTTGCTTTTTAAATGAAAATGGGACGCACAGAATGAAGGAAAGACGGAAGGATGGACTGTCAATGGTAACACTTAAAGCCCCTGTAGCCTTGTGGCAGGGGCATAATCATACTAATATTGATATTCAATTGTAAAAAAATGTGTAGTTCCTATTATTTTTGGAAGAGAAAATTTATATCAAAAGAAACAATGGTCAATGGTCTTAATTTTTTTTCAGAGTGGCCTGGGCTGGTGTGGTAAATTTTACAGACCAGCCAAGAAGTCACCACTTCTGTGCTGACATGGAATATAATTGGTACAGTCATTTTCTTTAAATTTTCAGTATATAAAATTCGAATCATTTGAAACACTTAAGATTTTTCTGCTCCCCGTTATAGATGGCCTAAGCTGTATTTGCCATAACTTTTGGGATTTTTGGTATTCAATGCTCTTCTTCAACTACGTATTTGATTTGAGCATCACTGATGGATTATATGTAGACAAAAGGCATGATAGTGTGACAGCCTGGTATTTGATGAAATTTTACTGTCCAATATACTAACTTGATATCAAGAAATTTGAAAAATGCTAGCTTTTGAAATATAAAAGTTCCATGAAGGTGAAAATAAAAGATAAAATGTCTACCACCTCACAATAAGTCTTAATAAAAAAATCTATGAAGTTTATTCACAACTTGGGAGCATTGTGAAAAAAGTATATATACTTTGTTAACAATTTAGCTTTTAAGTAAGTCGCTCAAGTTCTACTCAAGTAACCTAGTGTGCTACATGTGAAAGTCTGCAAATTTCTGAAAGAAAGAATTCACATAACTCTGCAGAAACAAAGATCTTGTTGACAGAAATGTGCAACTGCCAACAGAAAATTTTTTGCAATGGGAGGAATTACAAGGTACATTGTATTGAAATTGCAGATTGGTCAGAACATCATATTATTTTAAGAAAATCTTGTAAAGACACTTATTTAAGAACTTTTCAATACAAATTTTTGCATAGAATTATTGCAACTAATACTTTCTTGTATAAAGTTAAACTTAAAGATTCAAAGCTATGTACACATGAAGCCATGGAGCATTAGTTCTACGAATGTCCAATAACACATTTTATATGGCAATCTTTTTCACGAAAATCGAAACAATATTTTGTGAACTTGGCCTTCAAAATGAGTTTATTTATGAATTTGATGATTATAATTGCACAGAACTATATATACAAATGTAAATTGTATGAAAAGAAACCGATTAGTATAGAGCTAATAGCAAAAATAAGAAATATCAGAGAAATGAACATTATATAGCAAAGAAAAATGGTACCACACAATTTTTTTAAACATTCTGGGACCCAGTAGATTACATTTTTACTGATTCTTAACAATTACTTTCAAATCATATAAATAAACTGTTAACACAGAGATATGTCTCGTCTATTTGTTATTTTGATAATGCATATGTTGAAATTAAAATAGCAATACTTTAACATGCAAGTTATGCAAATGAACCATGACTGAAGGTACAGGGCTAAACAATATCCATGTAAATCAGATGTGCCAATGCTAATACAACTGCATACCAAATACCATTGACTTTTCATGTGTCGTTCTCTTTAAACAAACCTAAACACAAACATTAACTTGTAAACTATGCAAAAGTTTCAAAGTCAATAAACCATAATGAGGAGGTGGGGGTTATATAATTTCAGTGGAAAATAAACTTGCAAATACCAATACTTTTGCATACCAAATATCAATGACTTAAGATTAATGGTTCATCTTAAACTGACCTAATCACAAACCAATACATGTAAACTAAGCAAAAGTTTCAAAGTCAATAGACCGTGACTGAGGGGTAAGGACCAAATATACTCCATGGAAATGAGATCTGCTAATGATTATACAACTGCATACCAATTATCATTGACCTACCACTAACAGTTCCCCTTAAACTGATCTAATCACAAACTAATACATGAAAACTAAGCAAAAATGTCAAAGTCAATAGACCATGACAGAGGGGGTGTGGCCAAATAATCTCCATGGAAATGAGATATGCCAATGCTTATACAACTGCATACCAAATATCATTGACCTACCACTAGTGGTTCCGCAGAGACTGACCTAATCACAAACTAATATATGTAAACTAAGCAAAGTTTCAAAATAATCTCCATGGAAAAGAGATGTGCCAATGCTAATACAACTGCATGCCAAATATCATTGACCTACCACTAGTGGTTCCCCATAAACTGACCTAATCACAAACTAATACATGTAAACTAAGCAAAGTTTCAAAGTCAGTAGACCATGACTGAGAGGGAGGGGTCAACTAATCTCCATGGAATGAGATGTGCCAATGCTAATACAACTGCATACCAAATATCATTGACCTACCACTAGTGGTTCCACATAAACTGACCTAATCACAAACTAATACATGTAAACTAAGCAAAGTTTCAAAGTCAGTTGACCATGACTGAGAGGGAGGGGCCAAATAATCTCCATGGAATGAGATGTGCCAATGCTAATATAACTGCATACCATATATCATTGACCTACCACTAGTGGTTCCACATAAACTGACCTAATCACAAACTAATACATGTAAACTAAGCAAAGTTTCAAAGTCAGTTGACCATGACTGAGAGGGAGGGGCCAAATAATCTCCATGGAATGAGATGTGCCAATGCTAATACAACTGCATACCAAATATCATTGACCTACCACTAGTGGTTCCACATAAACTGACCTAATCACAAACTAATACATGTAAACTAAGCAAAGTTTCAAAGTCAGTAGACCATGACTGAGAGGGAGGGGTCAAATAATCTCCATGGAATGAGATGTGCCAATGCTAATACAACTGCATACCAAATATCATTGACCTACCACTAGTGGTTCCACATAAACTGACCTAATCACAAACTAATACATGTAAACTAAGCAAAGTTTCAAAGTCAGTTGACCATGACTGAGAGGGAGGGGCCAAATAATCTCCATGGAATGAGATGTGCCAATGCTAATATAACTGCATACCATATATCATTGACCTACCACTAGTGGTTCACCATAAACTAGACCTAATCACAAACTAATACATTGTTGACTCCGCCGCTGCAGACTCTGGAAACAGCTTACCTATGTCTCGCTTTTTGACTCCGTCAAGGCAAGACAATAAAACTAAAAAAGGAAAATATTTCAGTTACGTTCTCTGCAATTAACATAAAGATTCAAATATGAAGAATAGATGAAAAAAATTAATGCTATATTTCCCAAATTTAATAGAGGGATACCACTGCACATGTCTTTAATTTAATTTACCAGAATTCTTTAACTTGTATTTCGATGTATACCTACATGTAATAAAATTTAAATAGCAATCATCTTAAGATTATTTCTCAGGGGAATTATTTTTTTTAAGTAGAATGCCAATTATCATTTCTTTCATTAAAGGATTGGTATTCATTAGAAATTTAAGCTAATTAATTAGTTGTTGAACAAGTTAACTCGACATCAAAGGAGACTAATTTTCCTCATTAAATAAAACTTTTATTCATATTTTATTTAAATGCAAACTGAAAGATCTGAAACTTAAATGATTTATGTGAAGAAATACTGAGTACGGGGGGATATGACACAAAGTCAGCCAAAACATACCCCAATTATAAATCATAGCCTCCTTACTTGTATGATAATTTAATCCGAAATTAAGCTTGTCAGATAAAAAAATACAGCGATTTTGCTTACGACTCAAGTTGAAATATAGCATTTGCTAATAATCCATGAAAAATAGTAAGATGTATATTCCTGAGCGCATAATCTGAGACTACTATACTGTGTTATAGTAGTTTCAGGTATAATGCACAAAAATAGGGTTGTTGTGTACTCTAAAACTTAGTTAGGTGGTATTTTTCCTTGCACCTACCTGTTAAAACAGATGTGATCCGTGCACTACAGCGGAGT